AATATTAAAAAAATACTAAAAATAAAAAATACGAAAAATAAAAACTCAATTTTCTAAAAATTAAACTCAATTTTTTAAAACCAAGCATAATAAATATTTTATTTTCTCTCATAAGTTACATAATCATTTACCCTTGTAGTCCTCTTCAACAATGGTGCTCCAATGGCCTCCTTGAGCTTGAATCCAACACCAAAGCTTCAAAACACACTCTTTAGAACCTCAGCTCCAAGAGGAAGGTGAAACACTAGGTGTTTGTGTGCAATAATGAGACACAAAACACCTAGTGTACAAAATGAGAGGAAAAGAGAGATAGGTGAATGTATCTAACCCTAACCCTAGAAAAACCAGAGCTCTCTCTGTATTTTTTCCTCAAAAATGTCTAAGAGCTCTTTTCCCTTGCCTTAGAGAGAGACCCTCTCTATATCCCTCTTGTAAAGCTTACAAGACAAGCTTTGCAAGAGGGAGATCCCTCCATACACGTGTATGGAGGGGAGCAAAAGCAATACAGCTGTCTAAAAATATCTGCAAAAGCAGATGAACAACAATCGGCCGGCCAAAAATGCCATCTTGGCCAAAAAGAGTGCCGGTCGGCAACAAATAGTGCTGACCGGCAACAAAGAGTGCCGGCCGGCAAACTATATTGCCGGTGGCAGCAAAAACCAGCTGGTGGCATCTAGCCAATGCCGGTGGTGGGTGGGGATGGTCTACAAGCCCCACCCTGCCTCTCAAAGGCAAGATGCAAGTGTTTGGTGCAAAACCAGACACTAAACGGTCGAGTTCGGGGATCCTGAGGCAAGGCGTGCGGGCCGAGGCCTCCGGGAACTCCAAACGAACACAAACATGGAAGATCACCGTGTGTTCAAACAGTGACGTCCAAGTCTTGAGGACGGTCAAAAATGGGGTGTCTACAGAGGGGTTCAGTTCTGTTGAAAAAAATGGTTTTTTTTGTTTGAGAATTGAATGAAAATTGTCTCATAAGTTGGCCTCATGAATGAGAGATTGAGAAAGATGATTAAGCATTTTTCACATGGTCTAACCATGAGAAACACATGGCCATAATAGTGTCTTAAACCTCACACATGACCGTAATAGTGTCTTAGACCATGAGACACACATGGTTTTGGAAGCCACGAGGCACACATGGTCTTTCAATGTC